AATGCAATTTCTTACAGTTTGTGGTACACTAGGCCAGACACCAAAAAAATCAGATTTTGTTGTCTTAAAGCCTTAACTCACAAGTCAGTGTTCCAGTTTCTGTAGGCTCGTGTTTTCTTACAAAGCTGATGCATCTGTTGCACTGTTTTTGATCTATCTTTTGGGTATTTCTGTCAGAATGGATGGACTGTAAATTGCTCTGTAGCTGAGGCAGACCTCAGCATACTTAGTTTTTTTAGTAAGTTGCTACTACTAGTTTGTCATCACACTGCAGGAACACCAGTCAAACATGTGAACCTCACTGTGCAAGGTAGTATACACACATTCATTTAAAAAAACAGGATCATCTCAGAGACCTGATGATCTGAGTGTTGCAGGGGAAAGCAAATAGTTAATCAGTGTTGCATATGTTGAAGACTACCGAAGTACAAGGCAGGCAGAGATGTTTATGAAGAATGGAACTTAAAATGGCATTAGTGAGAGGCATTTTTCCAAAGTTGCTGTGTTTGTTTTGTTGTTTTTTTTCCCCCACATAGACTAAAGAAATAAAACTTGACAGGATTTTTGCTGCTATATGTCTGTTATTTTTTCTCATGGGATGCATGGGACTATTCATATTTTCTTACGTCCATTCTAGATGGGATATACTCCCCTGCATGTTGGCTGCCACTACGGAAACATAAAGATTGTTAATTTCCTTCTGCAACATTCTGCAAAAATCAATGCCAAAACGAAGGTGAGTTTTCCGCCTCTGCTTCACTCGTTCTTTGGAGGCAGCAAGTTTGCTGTGTCCACCACAGTCTTTCCCTTTCCTTGTGCCTGCAGAACGGGTACACGCCGCTGCACCAGGCTGCACAGCAGGGACACACCCACATCATCAACGTTCTGCTCCAGCACGGTGCGGCGCCCAATGAGCTCACTGTGGTAAGTGCCAAGAAGCCACCGCTCAGTCTCGGTCATTCCACCCTGCATGAAGCATTGTGTCCCTGCTGTGTTTGAGTACAGGAAATGACAAAAAAAAAATGTGACGAGGGGGAGGAAAAGAGCAGAGGAAGGCTATTCCAATCGCCTCTGTGTTCTGTGTCCTCCATTGTCTCTTCCAAAACCAGAACAGCAAACATCTGCACAATGTTTTCTTTTTCATCCAATTTCTGTAGACTTAAACTCTTATGGTTACATATTCTACTACCCAAAATCTGTATCAGTCACCAATATGCAAACATTTGTGTACTTCATTATTATGCATTTTTCTCTAACTAGCAATTTGTACGCTTCTAGCATTCAGCTTTTCATACAATTTTTTCAATTGCTAGAATGGAAATACTGCCCTCGCCATTGCGAAGCGACTTGGCTACATTTCAGTTGTTGACACATTAAAGGTGGTGACAGAGGAGACCATGACTACAATTGTAAGTACAGTTTATTTCAGTAGTGGAAGGAAGGATTTTTGCTAAGCCAGCATGTTCATCTTTGTTTAGTTAGATGTCTACTGAGATTTCAGTCTAATTTCTACCTAGCTCCTTTTAGCACTATAAAGTAGATATTAAGTCAGACGTAGGCAGAAACCAAGCAGAAAATGGCACTGTAAAGGGCTAGTTATAGCTGGCCTGTTTTTCATAGCATATAGCATACTTTGCTTATTGCATAAATGACATGAATGCAAACTGATTTGTAGTGGCAAATACATTCATAGAAGCTTCTTTCTGGTGGCTTCTGAAAGATGGCTAACAGTATCTTATACACGCAGCGAGTGTCTGCAACCCCAGCTGACATATCCTTGAACTCCACCTCATCTGTCTTGTCTCTCAAGAAGGCTTGCTGTTGTATGTTAGCCAGAGGAGATTAAAGAAAGTAGTCAGATAATGCCTATCAAAAAATGGCAATTACCAGAATTCAAGATATTTCTCGAAGATCTTATGGCAAAGTGCCTAATGAAGACTGTTCTCGTAAAATGCGGAGCCTCCATGAACAACCATAGAAGTAAAGCAAAAACAGAGCATTAAGAACATAAATTCAAAGCACCAGCTCATAATTGACTTTTTCCTTTTTGCAGCCTTTTAGTGCTTAAAAGGGGAGTCATATGCATGTATGCATTTTTAACCTTATAGGAAACTGAAAACAGTTATTGTACATTCCATGTTTTGTCATCACACATTTGTGTGGTCTGTCAGTGCAAGCAGGTGGTTGCAATACAGTTGAGATGATGAGCAATTTTTAGTTCAACTTAATGATCAGGCTGTGAATTGTTTTAGAGGAAATGTTAGATGCTGAGCAGCCTGTACTACAATCTGCGAGTACCTACGCTGAAGACAAGCACAGAAATAATTTCCACAAAAACTGAAATATGCTGTTTATCAGTCACAAGTGTGTACTTGATAGACTGTGGAAACCTAAACATGAGATCTGATTTACAGCTGAATATCTTAAAAACTCAGATAGCTATTTTTGGGGGCATGTGGCTAAATAACTCCCTAAAGTAAGTTTAATGAAACCAGGATGAGCATAGCTAGTTTTACTGTGATCTGTTATTCTTTACTGAAAGTCTGTTTATGCCTGAAAAAATCCTGTGATTTTGCTAGCTTAACAGCAATGTGTTAAAAACCTAAAAAGAGAATACCATGAAATGAAAGAACTCTGAAGCTTTTTATTGGTTTTGTGATGTTTGAGCATACAGGCAATCTTCTGCTATTTCAAGGGATGGCAGTAGCTCAAGAAAGGTGAACTGTGATATGAGTAATTATGAGGCAAGAGAAAACCCAAAATATCTGTAAATAGGTGAAGATAGAAAAGCTGTTTTGACCTGATCTTGTTAATGGTTTCTTATTTGTATATGAAGAATGAGAAGTGATAATGATTAAAAACACAAACAAGGGCAAGTGTAGGGTCCTATCCCTGGGGAGGAATAACTGGATGCATCAGTATAGGTTCAGGGATGACCTGCTAGAAAGGAGCTCGGTGGAGCAGGGCTTGCGTGTCCTGGTGGACAGCAGGTTGATCATGAGCCAGCAGTGTACTCTTGTAGCTGAGAAGACTAATGGTATCCTGGAGTGCCACATCTGGAGTGTGATGTCCAGTTCTGGGCTTCTTGGGTCAAGGAAGACACAGGGATCTCGTAGAGAGAGTCAAGCGGAGGGCCACGAAGATGATTAGTGGCCTGGAGCATCTCCCTTATGAGGAAAGGCTGAGACCTAGGACTATACAGCCTGGAGATGGATATGCTCTCTGGAGAATACTAAGAGGGTATCTTATCAATGGTTATAAATATTTAAAGGACAGGAGTCAAGTGGATGGTGCCAGGCTCTTTTCAGTGTTGTCTAGAGACAGGACAAGGGGCACTGGGCACAAACTGGAACACAGAAAGTACCATATGAACACAAGGGAAAAGTTCTTTACTGTGAGGGTAACAGAGCACTGGAATAGGCTGCAAAGAGGTGGTCAAGTCTCTAGAGATATTCAAAATCCACCTCCATGCTTTTCTCTGCAACTTACCCTAGGGAACCTGCTTTAGGGGAGGGGTTGGGAGTACTTTAGATTCTTATTTTTTGAACTCCACTCCATGAGCTCTATCTCTGGAGCGTCTCCTGTGTAACCTAAAACTTTACCAAAGTGCTTACTGCACTCTGTTCAAGCTGGAGAGTACCATGTACATGGCTGTGTATTTTGTGGGATACACAGGTATTCTAGGAGCAGCTTTGAGGCATTCAGGATATCTTTTTTCTGCTTTTAATTTTTTTTTTTTTTAATCTTGACCCTGAATCAACATAAGTATAATGATGAAAATCAACGGCTTCTTTGTTAAAACACATTCTGTAATGGGTTTTATTTAGCTTGCATGTAGTTACAGTTGTTTTCACGTGTGGGAAAAACACAATTATTGTAGAAGAACCTCTGAAAAATTTCACATGTAATTTGAGAGCAAGCTTATTCTAACATAGATGGACTTGATGATGTTAAGGGCCTTTTCCAACCTTAAAAATTCCACAATTCTATGATTTTTCTGCTGAGAAAGGAGAAGCACATCCCTCAGAATGAACGTTAGTATAGTTTAAATATAGATGACACGCTCCTGCTTAAAATTTAGATGACTTTTCAGAGAGTTCTATAAATACCCTTAACTTGCTTAAAGGTAATATTGTTTATTTCTGTATTATTTCAGTATAGTCTTTTTCAATGTGTAGTTATATTCATCTATGGAAAGCCAGGGAATAAAAAAGTTGAAAAGAATCCAAACAAGAGTTTTGCTAAATGTAGATAAAAATACACCCTGAAATGATTTTTTTTTTCTTTGACAGACTGTTACAGAGAAGCACAAAATGAATGTACCTGAAACCATGAATGAAGTTCTTGATATGTCTGACGATGAAGGTATTAGATAATAAAAAACCTTCTCACTTATTTTTCAGTCTGTTATTGTAAGAAGCCTTGTTTTTTGTTTGCTTTTTTTTTTAAAGTACTAGTTGGATATGCTCTCTGCACATACGTTATTGTTTTACATTGATTTATTGATTCATTGAACGTCTATGCTTTTATTTAATTCTTTTGTTTATTTAAATCATGCAGTTCGTAAAGCCAATGCCCCTGAAATACTCAGTGATGCTGAATATTTGTCAGATGTTGAAGAAGGTATTTGTACATTTTTGTGTCGCAGTGATATTTAACTTAAGCCTCTTCCTTTTACTATGTCTTACTGGAAATTAATCCTTTCAGATAATCTTCTTCTCATCCTACTAACAATAACTTCTGCTTTACAGTTTAGAATGCTTTCAAAAACTCTTCAAGCTGTTAATGATCATCTTTTTTTTTCTTTTTTTTTTTTTTTTTTTCCTGAATGTCTTACTACTAATTTCTAAATGAAATTACCTCCATTTTTCCTGGAAGGGTCCTTTTGCTGCTGCTTCTATAAAGTAAAGAATTAGTTTATTATTGCAACTGAAAAATATCAGACAAAAGGGTCAACTATCAAAGTACTTTAAAAGAAATAGCTGATAGTAAAAGTGAAGGACAAAAGGATGGGTGGGTTTTTTCGTTTTTGTTTTTAATTCTTCTGTGTGTTCAGCTATGTAATTATTGACTTACATTGATTGTCAACTCTAGTGTAGAAATACTTTTAGGATTTAAAACAAAACTGTATTTTAATCATAATGTTCAGCAAAACCACAATGAATTACTTTTGTCCTAAGCAAAGGGGATGCTGCGCTGAACTCAGCAAGTTGTGTTTCTTGGGATTAATGATGTACTCTTGTAGCTGGGATTTCTGTATTCTGTATCATTCTGCAAGGTGATGTGTAGTCCATGAGTGGGGCAATAAGCCATGTCTTCTCAGTGCCTCTGGATGAGATTTAAGCTGCTCACACCAGCAGCTTGCCCATCACAGCTCACTCCTCAGTGTCTGGCTGGGCTGACACAGTTTCAGTGGTCTGTTAAGTATCTGGAACTCATTTGGTAGCTGCTTTCCTCCCAGCCACCATCCCCTGCTAGGTCAGACCTTCCATGGTGCGGATGTGCAGGAGCCTGTGTGAGTCCCACCAGGAACTGCAGGTTTCCAGAGGCCACAGTGGGATTACGTTCCCATGTCACACTCAGAGACAGGAAGGTCTTGTGTTGAGGAAGGGAATGATGGCAGCACCCTGGAGGCTTTTATGTGTGTATTTGGTCACTTGCATTAGAGCTGCAGATTTTCCTTTCCAGTGGGGAGAGAAGTGACTGGGTCCAGTTAGCTTGTGGCTGTGTAGTCAGCCTCTTTCTTTGCACCAAGTGATGTGTTTACATGTTTATAGCACTTAAGCAGTATGGTGTAAAAGCTGCAAGAGAAGCTCACTGTGTGCAGCTCTTGTTCAATTCAGTCACTGAGGCTTTTGTTTTCAGTTTGTCAGTGTTCCTATATTTGCATTCTTAAATAGATCACGTTCTAACTGTGCACCTGTGTTTTCCAAGTAACTCTTCTGGGCTATTGTACTGCTCAAAATACCGCATTGTTGTAACTGGCTGGAATGCAGATGCCTAATAGTTAGTTAATAGAGCAGCAACAGCTGCCTTAGCCCATGGCCCAGCGTGAGGTTTGCTGCAGATGAGAAACGCCTGTGTAGGGTCAGAATATTAGATCTAAGATGTTAAATGTGTCCTTCATGTATGGAATCACTTCTAATGGCCAAATGCAGAACTGAAGGGAAGTGAGAGATCTGTGGGAGGTTTTTGTAGTCACAAACTCTCATTTCAGGGAAAAAATAAATATTAAGGATATGGGGTAATCTAATCAATTCCTTACCTAAAGAGTGTGTTCTGCAACCATGCTGTTACTAGGAGAGCTAAGAGGCTGGCTTACACGTAACAAGGTTGTTTTCAAAGTCTACTGTTGAACTGGAGCTCTCAAATCAGATAATAGGTATTTTATTAATCCATGCCGGAGCACTGCAGTATGCAAAGGTGGGGAATTACAGGCTTTGAGGCAGTAACCACTGTCCTGTCTCTTTCTTCTGCCTTGTGCATCCTTGAAGACAGGATATTGATGCCCTTTCCTGCAACTGCTGGGTGCTGACAGTGTGTTCCTTCAGGGTGGAAATCACAAATCTCATTGCCAGGGAATAGATTTCCAGTTGAGAGATGGACACAAATCTATGTCCCAAACCTGAGCTCTCCCTTACTTCATATTCAGGTCATCAGCCAAACCATTCAGTGCAAAATTTGCCCCATAATTTCTCATTATTCAGAAAACCTCAAGGTTTCTCTCCTAAGAGCAACTGAAAGCTTGAAGCTGAAAGTAGTTTCAGAACTCAGAGACAAGTGTGTCAGGGAACTCCTTCCTTCTATTTGCTGCTTGCTGTGTCTACTAAATAAGCACTTACTCAGAAATGGTGTAATTTCCCTGCAGTGGAGAGTTTGGTTTGCAGTTGCCCCAAATGAGAAGGGACTCATTTTCCTAGAGTGCTCTGGAAAGCTTGGCCAAATGAGATTATGTGCTGGGAAACTGCTTTACCACAAAAGAGAAATGGCCAAAACAAAAACCCAACAATAGTTTAAATGTTGAAAATTTAGAAGGCACATGTGGTGCTGAGCTTTAGTTTTTTCTTTTTTTAATTTGGTCTTCAGTAGGTAACTCTTTTTTGGTGTAAATAAGGACACTGTTTTAAACCCATTTAATGGATATTCCTCTCTCTGTAGGAGTAAGTATCATGGTAATCCATCTCTGGCAGATTAGGCAGGTGCCCGAGGAGGAAGTGAGGGCACACGGCCTGATCCCAGAGCAGGTGCTGGGTTACGGAAATGAGCGCCTTTAAGACAGGTCAGGACATTCTCAGGAATTAAAGTCTGTTCCAGTGATTTTAGGAGGGATGAATTTATTATATTTTTACACTCAAAAGTTTTCTGAGACTATCTAGATACACTTATACAGATCAGCACAAGTTTCAGTGGTTTGATCCTGGCTTTTCTCCAAAACCTTGGCTAAAACCAGAAGCGTCCTGCTCTGCCACCAGACAGCTCTGGACAGGCTGTGATGAGGGAGTGGCAAAAGCAAAGCCAATGACAAATGTCTGTTTGGATCCCAAGCTATAATGAAATGTAGCTTGGGACAAGCCATATGATCCCTTCACTCCTGCTGCCAGAGAGCCATGTTTGTCCCTGGCCTCTAAAAAGAGCTCAGGCGCTGTAGTTTTGCAGTTCCCAGCTGTATGAACGGGCTCTGAGGAATCAGGAAAATGGGGAAAGCCTGGGAATAGATGACAAAGGTGATCAGAGATACAGAAAAGCTTCTAGGGAAGAAGACAGTAAAGAGAGTAGGATTACCTATCACAGAAGAAAATCTTGAGGGATGAGCTAGGACGTGTGAGGCAGTGGGTGGCAAAGGGAGTGGTGAATGGGCTGCTTGCTGCGTCCCCTGAAGTCCACAAACAGGATGCACAGGTGAGACCAGCGAGGTGTAGGTTCAGCCTAAGTGAAAGGGACTGCTCTTAGTGCAAGAGCTGCTTGCAGCGTAGGACCCCTGCACACGTCCTTGCTTTGGAGAATGCAAGAAGTCTATGCAGGTTCCAAATGTAAATGGAATGATAAAAAAAAAAAAGCCTTCTGTGACAATACCAACCTCTCTCTCAGAAAAATCTGTGTTTGCACCAGCTGCCGGCTAGAGAAATGTCCTGGAGGACTTCCAATCTTGTCCTCTTCTTCACTTCTTCTGTGAAGTTTGCCTGCCATCAGAGCAGGATGTTCTTGGGCAGATGGACCTTTGCTTTGACCTGTGGCTGTCATTTGTCCATGGTTTTGAACGGATTCCCAGACTGCCCATGGCCGTGTTTCCCCGCTGTTTACAGGAACACCTTGCTTCAACACAGCAGATGGTGGAGGAAAGCAGAAAGGAAGGATAGCAACTGCAACAAAGCAATGCAATATTCTCTTTTTTCATTGTTCTTTAATCAGTGCCTCACTCAACACTGAACAGTGTTGATGTCCCACTTTGTCTGTGGGACATCTGTGCAGGAGTACAGTGTGCTGCAACACTCCATGCTCGTCTCCCAAAAGGAGAGGGATTAGGCTGCAGTACCTAACTAACCGGAGCGGGACTGCTGAACCGCGCACCACCCATTCCGCTGGAGCCTCCCACGATCACCCCACAGCGTGTGGAATCCTTTGAAACAACCACTCCTAGCTGCAGCTTTTCCTTTGATGAGCGTTTCATCAGAGCCATCCAGCTGGCTGCAGAGCTCCCTAACACCTCACGCCTTCTGCAGCCCAACTGGTAGACTCGAGCTTCGCGACAGCGGCACAGCGTTCGTCTCCGCACGTCGGAAGGGCGGGAGCTTCCAAACGTTACCGCTCTGTTTATCACCGCTCAGAGCCGCCTCTAGTCCTCTCTCGCCCCGGCCCCCGGAGGCTCTCCATGCAGCAGCTCTCACCTGGCGGCCGCTCCCCGACCACATGCGGAGAGGCGCGGCCCCGGGCGCAGGAGGCGGCCCCGGGAGGGCGGGCGGAGCGCTGCGCCTTTCCCTACCGCCCCGCGCTCCCGCTCGGCCCCGGTATCGAATTACAGCAAAACTACACCCTCGCAGCACCCCGATTTACATACAAATAGCTCGAGTGCCTGCATTTATGTCACCAGTCAAGGGGCTTGCCAAGGGAGGCTGTAATCCAATCAGCAGAAGCTTTAAAGGGATGTCTGCAGAGTGATTAAAAAGGGATTTTTTTTTTTTTAAACTGTAGTCATTACTTTTCGTTTTGTTTCATACTTGGAAAGAAGTTTGATCCGAATCGAGAGGACAAAGATGCACATGTCGTAAAATACATACGAAGAGATCAGGATGCTAAGAAGATCTCGGTTGTTGTGTGGAAAGCGAATATGACCCCCAGGGATTAGTTTGCTGGTGCTGGTTTGGAGATTAACTCTAAATCACTGCTTAAGGACTAATAGGACTAATAGGAATTCTTGGAAACACCAGGGAAAAACCTTATAGACCAGGCTGTGGAAATGGCTTTCCAAAACAGTAAGATCTTTTAAAGTTTAATTTAATCTATAACGTTCATGCTTATGTTTGTGTTTTTGTTTTTCGTAATGTTTTGTGGTACGCGCTGACTACTTTAGCTTAGAAACTCGTGCTTAAAATAAGCGTTGTTGTCGGGTTGGAGGGGAAAGTTGGTGTGTTTGTTTGCCGTTCGCGGAGCAGTGGCCGAAGGGGTATTTTTAGACCCGATTGTTGGTTTGAAGCAGCGCTCGCGGTGGTTTCCTGAGCGAAGTGAATGGAAAGCCGTGTAGCGCCGTGAATGGGACTGGGGACGGACTGGGCTTACGGAGCCCGAGTTTTGTAAACCCGCTGAGAAAGTTGTCTGTTGGGCAATTGTACACACCTGAGATGCATTCACAACAAAGGGAGAGTGCAAGCGTAGGCAAATAACGAGCTGCAGGAAGCTCACTGCTCCGTGTTGTAAAGGGAACGGGGAAAACCTCTTTCCACCGCAGAAGGCATATTTTGGACTTGCTGTGTCAGTGCAAGAATGTAGTTTTTGCATGATGTAATGGTATGCAAATGCTCCCAGGGAGAGAGAGCTGCTCCATTAACCCTTTGCGGCATCCGCCCTCCTCCCCCAAGACTTAACTTTCCTTACCTCCGTTTTTCTAAAACACGAATCTGCTTCTCAGCCGATGCCCCGTACCCCAGTGTCTGGCGGTTTGAGCTCAGCTGGTGGCGGTGCTTACGTGAATGTGCGCTGCCTGATGCTGGCGTGCTGGGAGGGCCTGCTGGGTTAAGGCTTTGTGTTGCTCCCGCGGATGGACGTCTTGCTGTGCCCGGCAGAGACTGGGTACAGTGCTCCTCTCACCTGGGCAACGTGAGCCAGGGCCTGGGGAATGCGTCATTACAAAAAAATAGAAGTTCCCTCTTGTATTCAAACTCAGAAAAGTTACTGAGAAATACCAAGGGCGAAGGGTAGGCCTCTTCAGTTGCATCCGCTCACATTCCTGCACAGTTCCGTACTGATGGGCAAGTGGGCAGCCTTCACAGCTGGTTTCTTAGTGTCAGAGACCCAACTTTGTCAGCTCAGCCTTTTGGTAAGGAAAGCAAAACTGAGTGGGATGGTTCAAAGTACAGAAGATCCCTTTAGCTTGCTTAAGCAATTGGGCAAAAGTCATCCCGTGTATAACTAAATTGATTTTATGTCAACGTGCAGATTTGCCTTTTATATTTGCCCCCAGTAAAATTATTTTCTCAGGCCCATTCAGAGGGTGGATAATTGACAGTCTGCACAGGAGGAGCCTTAGGGAAAGTAGGCTTGATGGGATTGCTTACTTGCTGGCAAGCACAAGGAGGGTGTTATAAATTAGTAAGTGCACAAACATTTATGAGACAAGCAGCTGCTGATTTCAGCTTGGCTTTTCTTTTGGCAGGTGAGGATGCAATGACAGGTGACACGGACAAATATCTCGGACCCCAGGATCTAAAAGAGTTGGGCGATGATTCTTTGCCTGCTGAAGGCTACATGGGCTTTAGCCTGGGAGCCCGCTCTGCCAGGTATTGTATTTGCTGTTTCTTGTGTTTGTGTGTCACCACAGTTACAAGTTGTTACCAACCAAGCACTTTCTTTCACTCAAAGCTAGAGTCTATTTTGAAATGAAGCAGACGGGGTGTATTTCCGTGTTATGGTAATACTGTGCCTTTAAAGCATATGTTCATTGCTGTTTTATTTCACAATCTTTGTTCATGTTGGCTTCTTATGGCAACGATACAGAAAACTAACTTCATTTTTTCTGGTATCTACTTGTTCTCTGAGCATCTTCCAGGCCTCTCCTCACTGCGAGTTTCCTACTGGTCTAGAAACTGATCTAGCACCACCACTGATATTTGAGTTCTTCTCACTACTGACCCTCAGACTAGTGCTTACGTTTGAGTATTCCTTGATGGACCGATTTAGCCAAAGAATGTAAATGCCAGAAAAATTGAATTAAATCATTTTGCTGTTTTGGTGCTTTTATTTCTTTAAGGGTGCCAGTGAATAAGCAGACAGATAGTCAGTATTAAAGAGAGTTGGTCCAAGAATTCGTAGAAAGGTGAGGTGAACCCTAAATCTGATGTCAGATTTCTTGTGACTGGAAACAGATCGTGTTGCGTAAAGCAGGCCAAAGTTTCCCTGAACCGGATAAAACATTGTAGAGTTAACATAACGTCTGACTACTGTTGATTCAAACTCACATGTTTGTAGATCAACGTTGTAGGTTTCTTCTTTAAATCTTGCTAAAACCTGCACTGTGCATTGCTCAAAACAAGTAAAGCTGTGTGAAGACAGATTAATTCCATAGCTGTGGATCTGCAGTGTGTTTACTGACAGTTGGATTGTACCGGAGCTAATAATTAAACCTCATATGCTGGAGCCCTGAGGACTTTTTCCTGTACTGTAGTTTAAAGATCTGTTTTAAAAAGTGAATTCATTGTCTAACAGTGAATGGCAACTCCCATAAGGTAAAGCCTCGATGTCTGCTCCTCAAATCTTGTTTGTTATGGTTGCATTAGAAATGCAAGCATGCCTTGCAAATTTACTCTTTAGTAATACCCAGCCATGTTTTGCTTCACTTCCAATTTTTAGGTAAGTTAATAAGAATTTTTGTGATAATACATTCACAGAGAATGCCAAAATGCTTTTAAATGTTCATCAACTAGAACAGAAGGGAGAATCTGATGTCTTTGTACAGTTAATTAGCAAAGCTGATGTGCTGCTTTTAAACATGAGCTGGCATGAACAAGGTCATCAGACAGCACTATATGATGTGGTCAGTTTGTAAGGGATAGAGGAAAGTGTGAGGCCAGCATACAGAGCTGGGTGCTCTGCTTTACAGGACACCTCCTCGTTATGCTGCTCTTCATGCAGAGGTCTAAATTCTCACTCTGCAAATGGGAGAGCAGAATTTCACGGTCAAGGTCTGTTAGATAAACCTGAGAGTTTTCTTTGAGAGAAACCTAATATTTCCATGCTTCTGATTTTAGCAGTGCCATTATTATTTGTTGCTACGTAACTCATGTTTTACATTGCACACATGTTATGCTCAGAGGAGATAAACAACAGTGCTTTTTTTTTTGTTCGGTGAAAAGTATTCTGAGAGTATACCTTACTACTGATTCTGAGTGTAACATTAAGAAATAAACACATTAAATATATAAGCCATCCAAGCCATAACATCTTGCTTTTCCCGTCTGATTCTTTGCTTTCTATTTCTCCTGTTTCTTTTCCACTGTAAATTGCTTTAGTCCTAAAGTCAGGTAAGAAGGCATGGCATCGTGTTACATCCTCCTGCTGCTGCCATTGCTCATCTTCATTTTATTCAGCATTAGAAAATGACATGCTTTTCTTTTGGGGCAGGGGATAGAGGGTGGGAAGAGTTTGCTCAGCCTTAGAGAATATCCGTTTGTTGTTCTAACAAATGTAACTTGATTTCATTATACCCTTTGTCATGTGAGAGTTTGCTTAATGTATGCCTAGAGAATGTAATAAAAATCCTGGTTCTGCTTCCAGCACAAGGAAAAATGTTTGCCAAGGACTAGAAAAGTTCTATTAACAACTACCAAGTGCATGAAATGAGTTGTAGAGTTTTGAGTCTGAACAGTGTTGCTAGTTTAAAGGTGTAACATGTTGTTGGATGTTGCTTTTTATTAATTCATGTTTTATACTACTTTATTTTTTGTCACGTAGTGAGCATGTCTAGGCCTGCAGCATGTTTTTAGCACATACCATAATGTATCTTCCAGGGCTAAGTGTAACACGCTTCAACATTGATTTAATTGCAACACATTCAGAGCAATCATTAATTTCTGAATAATCTAACGTGCACAAAACAATCCCCCAAGTATTGGAATCCGTATTTAATCATTAAGAAATAATTTCTTAATTTATTTCAAAATTCTCTTTTTTTTTTCTTCTCCTAAGTGACTAACTAGGGTGTTTACAACAAAGTCAAAGTGGTTCAGCCACAAAGAGAGAACACCACCACATAAAACTTGCATTTAGTTGAACCTGACTCAGCAGTGTGGGCAGGCACTACAAACTACCCACAGATCCACTAGGACCTGCCCGTATGTGTCTTGTTGCAGGATTAGGGCTTGAAGGCATTTGCAAAAATTCATCTAAATACTCAAATACGCTTTTCTGGATTTATTCTTAAGCCGTAGCATTGCTACCTAAGCAGTAAACATCTGTTTCAGTTTGTTTATGTATATTTTAGGCAAGTAAATATTTAAATACAGTTAAGTACTTACTACTCCATTTTTCCCTTGTATTTATTTCATATAGTATGTATATTTTTCCATCTATCCCTGGAAGTTGCATGTATTAATTTATTTTTATTTTTTGTTCATCTCATTGTCATCTGCACTTTCTATGATAAATGGTAAATACAACAGCCTCCGCTCCTTCAGTTCGGATAGGTCCTACACGCTGAACAGAAGTTCTTATGCCCGAGACAGCATGATGATTGAAGAGCTGCTGGTACCAGCAAAGGATCAGGTATGTTCTGCCTCTCTGGCACCAGGTGTTTGTGCTCTGTGGTTGTAGGGGTGATAATCTGCAGCCCTCAGTTGTGCTTGCAGTGACTACGACTACTCTTGACTGTTGAAAAAGGAGAAGAGCTGCAAGAAAGAAATCATGGGTTTGCCATATTGTGGCTTTGATTTTGTGTTGGTGAGAGTATCTGTGAGATTAATGTTACGTGTATTTTCAGTTTCTTTGTTAAGCTGAGAGCAATGTATTTTACACTAAACAACCGTTGTCTGCACCGTAGAGACCAGGAGTTTGGGTCTTGCCAATTCTGCCCGTAGGGAGAAGACTCCAACCACTGTCCTTGTTTTTCCACCCTTGGGAAAAATTTGGCCTTGTAATGATTGAGCTATTATCCACTAACCAGTTCGTGTCTCTTCCAAACATTTATTCAATGACTAATAAAAGAAACACAGAATCTTTTGACCTGATTACAGCGTGGGAAAGTATTTTGAAAAGCTAATGCTGGAGGTGATAGGGTGCTATATGCTTTGTTTTGTGAGCTCCTTAGCTTTTGGTGGACTTGCTTGTGACTTTTAAATCCAGTTAAGTTATTCATGAGTTTCTTCATCACAGAAGCCAGAGATCTGCTAGGAAGCTGGATAAAACCCACAGAAAAGTTTTTACTTCGGAGTTAAAGAACTGTGGAGTGGAGCTGTTATGTCCTAGAGAAGCATTAGATGGATTGTAACGGAAAACAGATTTTCTGCTATCAATTTTGCAGGGGTTCCATTCAGCAGTGGCAAGTATTCCTGCACAGGGTATTATAGATAGAATACTTTCACAGGGGAAAGGGTCCATGGGGTGAGACTCCAGCTTTTTAAATCTTTTTTGTATTAGTTCCAGTGTAGTGTAAATTGTCCAGTTCTACTACAGCTTTTGCACACAGTTTTGTTAGTATTCTGGCCATGGTATAAATTCTACTCTCTTTAGCAAGGAAATGTACATAAGTCACTCCAAAAGTACTGCCTCCTATTTATTTCCATGGAACCTACAACAGCCACAAAGAGCACAATAACACTATTTGATAGAGCAGTTTTTCATTTGATAGAGCAAATTCTCAGCTACAAAACACTGTTTTTCAACATAGTTACCACCATTAGCTATGCATGTTTGCCAGTGATGAACAAGAGTGTGTGTGCTGCGCTCATAAAAATCTGCACCAGTGGAGGTGAGCCACTGTTTTACAGTTGCTGTGATGACATCATTGCTAAAATATTGCCCATGCAGCCCAGCTTTCATGGAACCCAAGTAGATGAAAGTCAGAAGGTACCAAATCTGAACTATTTGGTGGGTCTGATGGAATAGTCTAGCCAAGATTGGCAATATGCTCCACGGTCTTCAAACTGAGATGAGGCTTGGCATTCTCTTGTTGCAAGAGAAAGATTGTCTTTTTTTCTGGCCTGACTCTGAAAGTTCAAGCCCTCAGCCTTAGTATTGCAGTGTAGCGGTCAGAGTTGATGGTTTGTCCAGATTCCAGGAAATCCATCCAGAGGGATCATTTCTTTCCTATTGCAGAAGACAGTGAACATTACTCGCTGGGGGCTGCATCTTGAACTTTTTCTTCAATGGGGAATTCACCTGTTGCCAGTCTATGGATTCCTGTTTTG